TAAAAATATTTTAAATTGAGATAACTTAGCATAATGCCCGTATCAGTTTAATAATGGAGTGMAGTCACTAAACCCGTGAAATAGATATTASACTAATACACATTAYTAGACCCWARTCAAAAACTCATAARGGGGTTGGMACGTGTAACGCTATACAGCTATTTGCATTAGAGAGTGCACCATTCACTTTTTTCGTCTTTGKTTRTRGSGCGACAAYGCTGTGTTTCTAACATCTGAACAACAGRTTTCCAAGRAAAAMWYTYGAMGTTTTTAGGGGCAACCGTTACATTTTTGGCGGCTTGACTTTACATTCCTGAAGTCCCGTGCATACATTCTTGGCGTATGGCGGCTAATTAGCTTTGAACATAGTTAATCGATTAAGGCCCTGGCTAAAAACGAGAAAACATGTTTCCAGAAACATGTTTTCTTAAATGTTTCCAAAGGTGGCAAAACTGTCATGAAACTTTGGAAACATGTTTGCCGCCCTACGTCAGGAATGTATGCACGGAACATCGGAATGTAAAGATGTAACGGTTGCCCTTAGAGCCGCCAAATTTACCCGTGAGAACCTGTTGTTTAGACCGCGTTAGAAACTCACGGTCGCGCCACAAACAAAGACGAAAAAAGTGTATGGTGCATACCCTAATGCAAATAGCTGTAACCATGCTCCGGAATCTGAGATGGCGGCTAATTAGCTTTGAACATAGTTAATCGATTAGGATTTTTTAGGAAATTAGGAGTTTTGACAACATATTTGTAATTCCAGGCTTGATTCAAGATGGCCGCTTCTAACACCATATCAAAGTTTTCCGTGAATTTCCTGACTTTCCGAGCACATTTACTGAATCTTTCAATCAAACATTCGGGGTATCTGTCTTTAATTTAGTTTAGGGAATTTTTAAAGCAAGAGGAAGTGACTTACTGGAAAGGGATTTGTGAAGAATCAATGTCGATATCCGGAGCATCGTACTAAAGTAAAGTATGGCTGTTACGCGTTTCAACTTCTTTACGAGTTTCTGCCCTAATTCCATTGTATTCTTTTGTGTCTATTTGACTTAGTACACGTTGACTGACATTTAATTCACGGGTTAATTGCCTTTACTCTAGCTTTTTTTATCCTATGTTAACGATAATTTTATAATTTTTAGTTAAATTTAAATTTACACTAAAAAAATACTGCGCGGCATTCTAGTATTTTGTGCAATGATAAAAACCTTTAAAAATGTCATATATACATAACTAAAAAAGGTAAATACAAAATGTTCCTTTGCTTTAGAAAAATTTACTGAATGGTAGAATACTGAATGTTAATTTTCTAAAAAAAATATTTGCTTGTAGTGATATAAACTACATCCCTCCTACAGCATTACGACCGTTTGTGTTGCAAAAATGTTTTAACAATAAAAATATAGAAGTAAAATGCTGATTAATTTCAATTTAATATGCACACTTGATGATTTCTAGTCGCTGGAGAATGGAAAGGATCTAAAGTAGGTATACTGTTAAATTCCAGACAATATCTATACCTCCACAATGAAGGGGGATTGGAACTTCTAAGGGGCGGGGTCTGAAGAGGGTATATTGTGTAATTCCAGACAATATCCATGCCTCCACAATGGAGTCGGAAGGGTTGGAAACGGTATAAAAGTGAAATATCCATACCTCTTCCATCAAAGGGATCAGAATGTTTTGACAGCGGGGAAATTATTTTTGGCTGTTTTAGGAATTTCTATGTAATTCATTTTAGGCCTAATCAACTCAATGGAGCTACAATTTGATATAATGATCATGTTTCCTCCAACGAAACAGCTATGGAAAGTAACTGTAAAAACATTAACAATTTTAATTTACAGCTGAGTCAATCTCGTACCCAGAGCCTGCGTTTCGTCTGGCCTGCGGCGAAGAGGAGGGCTCTGGCATAATCCATATTTTGGCGCATGCGCAATTTTCGATAAGTGATATATAGCCAATTAAAATAATCAAAGTAAATATTAAATCAAAGAAAAAAAACACAAAGTAAAACTTTGGGCAAGTCTTCGAACACATGCGCTGTTATACCGGAAGTCCAAGAAACCCTAGTCTCAAAAAATGGATTATGCCAGAGCCATCGTCCTTTGCCGCAAGCCAGAAGAAACGCAGGCTCTGGGTACAAGATTGCAGCTGAGTGACATCGTTGCTCATGTTAGCCAGCTCCTTTTGTGCCCAGGTATCTGTTGCTTCTAAACAGAAGGGATCGACTATGAATCTCCTTTCATATTTTCTTCTATCTCGTACTACCTTATGTATTTGGTAGGTTCTTCACCACTGCCCGAATTGCTGAAACAAGCTGTAAATAACAGTGATAATGATTAATCTAATAATCGATAAATGAATGAATGAATAAACACTAAACAAAGAAAGTTACATCATCACCAGTGTCATCAACATCACCATCATCATCAGTGTCATCTCATCACCATCATCATTACCCACATCATTATATCCAGTGTCATAAATATCAACATCATTATTAACATCATCATCATCACCAGTGTCACCTCATCATCATCATCATTACCCACATCATTATATCCAGTGTCATCAACATCAACATTATTATTAACATCATCATCATCATCAGTGTCATCATCAACATCATTATCACCAACATCACCATCGTCAATATCATTATCTTGATTGTTGTCCGACAAAACCTACTTCGTTGCTAAGGCAAATCGTACGATTTTGCGCCTGGAAAACCTTAAATCAGGAGCGCTTACCACTTACCCGGAAAACACCGAAATTCCGGTTGGAAAACAAATGGAATGTATCATTCCGATTCGAAAGTTCCGGAAAACTCGTATTTTGATTGAGATAATCCATTTTTCCCGCACTTTTTGGTACTTCCGGTAGACACGTGTACCATTTTTCGGAAGTCAAAGTTTCCCGCTCTTTTTGGTACTTCCGGTAGACGCGTGTACCATTTTTGAAAGTCAAAGTCTCCCACTTTTTTTTTACTATTAGCAAAAGAAATTCCAACCAGTTGGATTGGTTTAAATGGTAAGCACTCCAAATCTCATACAATATCCATAATTTCAAGTCTTATAATACACTCAACAAAATTATTCGATTCTGATTGGACAAGAGGAGTACAATTAAATCACAATTTTACTCTGTATAGTAGTCCTAATTAAGTTGCTCAATTTTATTGAGTTTATTTTAAACAAAAAAATCACACAATCTTCTCGTACAGTTCGGAATTTATAGATACTCGTGATGTTTTGAAAGTTCTCAAATTGAACTCACCTAAAGACTCGTCCAATTTTGAAAACTTTCAAAACATCACTCGTACCTATAAATTCCGAATTGTACTCGAGATCGTGCGATTTCCTATACGAATTTCCTACCCTTTGTCTTTCCTGTGGTGGTATGTCACTGCCTTCAAGATCGTCTTCAGAAATTCCTTTTAAGAAATCTACACGATCGTAACCATTATCGACCAGGAATCTGTAGTACTGTGTAAATTTTATTCTCTCCAGCAACTCCATTACAGTCTGAGGATTGAATCTCTGGAAAAGATAATTTTTATTCTTTTATATGTTCCTTTCTTCGAATGAATAGTGCAGCACGTCGGAATGCAGCTCAATTTGGAGGACATAGTAATAGACCTCTTCCGCTTGGGGTAATGTTTTCCCATTTCAGACCACGTGTCATTCCCTTGAGATTAAGATCCTTTGTTTGAGCTGCATCCATATTCATGTGTCTTCTCATAAGCAACCGAGCGCAAACCTTAAACAAAGAAATGATACTCTAGGGAATGACATGTGGTCTGAAATGGGAAAACGTCAGAGCCGAAGAGGTCTATTGGTTTCCAATTCTCATAAGATTGAAATTCTTTTGTTTTGTTCCCCAAATTGAGCTGCTTAAACAATAAGCCTTTTCATAGTTTAAGAATCGATTCCACTGCGCATGCGATTTTATCCCGAATTTCTCACCTTCTTTTGTTTAATTAAGAACAAAAGAAGGTTTAGACAAAAGAAGGTGAGAAATTCGGGATAAAATCGCATGCGCAGTGGAATCGATTCTTAAACTATGAAAAGGCTTATAGGTTTCCAATTCTCAGGAGATTTAAATTATTTTGTTTTGTCCCCCAAATTGAGCTGATTTGACGTCACATGCAAGGGGTCTATTATGAAGCAGCACGTTTCAATATCATTGTCAACATTTTTGAATAATGTCAATAAACAGATAACTGCCTATCAAAGCGTGTGAGCATTGAGTTGAAGTCAATAACTCGAATACTTCGTTAGTATTTGGAGATTTTAAGAGTTTAAAAACACCATGAATCTGAAACCACGTTATAATTTGATAAAAAATCAAACACTTTGCATTACATTGGGTAGAAGATATATAGTCAAAAGATAATTGTCCCATGAGCAATCTTGCAAAGTAGCCGTGCCATACTTAAGAAAAAATGGTAAACCATGGAGTTGATTTTTCGTGGCTTGGCTGACGTCACTTCCGTCCGTCCGTCTGTCCGTCCGTCCGTGTACACAACACAGGAATCCCGCTTGATGTCAAAGCAAAACTTCTCACGAGGCGAGACGGACACTAAGCTTGGAATTAAAGAACTTTTTTCGACGATTATTCACACGTTTCTATCATTGTAAGCTCACAGTTTGTCTCACTTTGATGCAAAGGCACGGCTACCTTTCAAGATGACATCGGGTCAAAATTTCGAAGCCCATCATTATTTGAAAGACAGACACCCTATTTTGAGTTTGGAGCTATTAAATTAATAGCGCAGCGCAGCCGTGACGTCATAAAAACGAAGACAAAGGCGAAATTCGGACAAACAAACTTACAAGTTTACTTTCAGCAGATTTTTTTACAGCCGATCGCAGTTGATCTTAGTTTACATGGGTTATTATTGTAACTTCAAGTAAAAATAATAAAATCGGTTTGTATAATCCTCGTAGCGTTTAAACAGAATGCAATGTTTGTCCGAATCTTTAAGCTATTTTTAGAATCAGTGCGCTGCGCTATTACATATAACCATGTATTCTCTCGTTATTCAGCTGTAAAATGATATTATACCATAATGATTATATAACACAATATCTTGTACTTTGATCTGTCCAGAGACAGGGTTTCAAAGTTTCAATCAAATCGGAAGGATTTGTAAGGAGGTGGACTTTCGGGAGCCTTATAACTTCAAAGCCCCACTGGGTCAGTGGTGTATGAGAGAGCAGACTGGATTTATAGTTCTTACCTTTGCTGGTAAAGGTGGCGGGGGACCTCCACTGCCACTCTAATGAGAATGAATGAATAAATAAATAAATACTTCTATTAATATTAAAGATTTATTTATAAAAAAGAATTAAAAAATAATAATGATAATAATAAATAAAAAATAAATGAATAAATAAATGAATAAATAAATATTAAATGAATACATATTAAATAAATAAATCAATAAGTATATAAATAAATAAATAAATAAATAATAAATAAATGAATAATTAAATAAATATTAAATAATTAAATATTAAATGAAGAAAGAAAAAAAGAAAGATAGAAAGAAAGAAAAGGAAAAATGCGATAAAACATTTTTAACGTGATAGAACATTGATCAGAACAAAGCCAAGAGAACATAGATCCCACTTTGCAATTTTTTATACATATTTTCCACACTATGCCGATTTTATTATTTTTACAAAATATGAAATACTTTACTCATTAAGATAAGAATGATGTAAAAGAAAGTGTGTTGTGTGTTTTTATATGTGCTCTCATCAAGCTCGCCCCCACAATCAATCAGAAAGAGAGTTATTTAGCATATGGTAGTTACTTTATAATTTGTAGTAGAGTAAAAACACTAAAAGCGTGCAGCCTTTAATAGTACTAAAATAGCGGTAAATTATACTAGAGTGCAAACCATATAGTCTAAAACTAATTAGTTAATAGATAATTACTGAGGCACGCAGCATTCGTAGGTATAATGCAGGCAGCTTCGGGCTACGCCCTCAGTGTACACAACACAGGAATCCCGCTTGATGTCAAAGCAAAACTACTCACGAAGCGAGACGCTGAATGCTGCGTGCCGAAGTGATTATCTAGTATAATTATTGTTCTTATCAAAATCCAATTGTTTTCTTTCTAGCTTGTTTATCATAGAAACAAAGCCAATAATGAATGAACTAAATATGTCTGATTTTCCTCTATGCATTCGTTGGGATAATGCAGACTGAAAACAATGGATTTTGATAAGATCAGTAATTATTATAAAATAGGACCAATGAAACAGAGTACAACACTATAGAGTGCTCACACTATATCCGTGAAACAAATACTAATTTTTAGCACTAAATAGTGATATTTAAACAATAGAAAACAAAGGATTCTGTATGAAATAGTACTAATTAGAACTATTTAATGTTCACGGTTTTAGTGAGTGCACTCTAAGTGTGTAACATAAATACCACTAAATACTGCTAAATAATGTTAATCTTAGAGTGCAAAAAATATACCCGTGAAATAGTTAGGATGAAATAACATACCCGCCGAAATTTTCCACTAACGTCCGCATGACTTCCAGGAGTTGCAATCGCTTTCGTCCCCTCAACCTAAAGGAGTGCAGTTAAAGTGCTGTTAGTCCAAAATGCTTGTTGCATAGTTGATCTATTTGTGAGGATGTGCGGGAGTTGGACAGTGCAGTAGTGCTTAGTGATGTAACAATTTTAAAAAGCATCACAATAAATAGTAGGATAATAAAAAAAATAGTATAAAAAATAACGATGATGATGATGATGTTGATGTTGATGCATGATGCTCTGGTGATGATGATGGTGATGATGACGATGATGATGATAATTGGGTAATGGTGCTGGGTAACAATCCCAGGTGAGGTGGTATCCACCCCCCTAGGTCTACTACTGCAGTGTCATTACTAACCTGTGAGCGTGGTCTGGCTTTGGGTAATGGTGCTGGGTAACAATCCCATGTGTCGTGGTATCCACCCCCCTAGATCTACTACTGCAGTGTCATTACTAACCTGTGAGCGTGGTCTGGCTTTGGGTAATGGTGCTGGGTCACGATCCTTAACAGAATGACCTGAGAATCTACTACGAAATGAAAACAAAAACTTTCTTTCACTTCTATGAACACAAATAATGACATACGTAGGAAGACATTTAATACTTCATACCCATCATCCCAAGAAGCTAAAATAAATACCACAGGAAAACCTTCGCCAGAAGAAACGTTCACAATTCTTACCAATTTTACAGCAATTCAGTTGGAAAAGGTTATTTATCCCACATCACGTGAAATTTGAAACCTCCCCCCACCTCCCCC